CGCTAAATGACCTTGCCAAATCTATCAAAGCCAATACCGTAATCATTCATAATCACAACGTTTCCATTCGATCCAGCATAGAAACACTACTTTACACCATTAATATAAATGTTGGTCAAAAACTCAACCCCAAATATTGAAAATTACTTTTTTGAGGAAGTTTTTTTTTCAAAGGATTGGTAAAACTTCACTCAAATTCGTTCTATTCTAAATAAACATTTTATGACGACTGTTATTATCAAAATTCCACAAATTGAATTAAACACTTTAATATTACAATCAAACCATATGTTATACAAACTGAATATAAGTCTTGGCATACAATATACATTATCAACAACTATGTATAATAATATGTATACTACAAAATAAATACGAATTTAATTTTATTCATTTATATATTTATACAAAGGACAATAAGAGAAAAGAAAACACAGCAGTCGATCAGGGACAATCGTCTAAAAAAATCGCCGTCGGGGAATCAAAATGACAAAATGTGAAGTTTCAAAGCAGCAAAAACAATAGCCTGGTTTGCACCACTACCAATAAACGAATGACGGTTCAACACTTGACTGATGTCCCTGTTTATGTCTCTCTATCTCTCTATTCTGCTCCCCATTGGGAGTACCAATGGGGAGCAGAAGTACCCCCATCGTACTAACTGAGAGCAATGTGTTTATTTTTTAAATTAAAAAAAACGACTACTACTACACAACCAAATCAAAAACACGATTCAATGAGCATTAGTTTAGCTTTTTTCATTTACTGTTTTTGTTAAATGAGAGCGAAAGAGTGAATGATTGTAGAGAAAAGAGATGGAACATGTGAATTGTAAAAAGAGCGCACGCGATTTAGTTTTGTATTTCGGAGGAGACAACAACTAAGTTGTGTGTTGTTATTGTTCTGCGAGACATCTGTGTCGAGCTGTCATAAATCTTAATTTGATGATGGAAAGGAATGAACACAAACGACAGTCAGTCACAATGAACTTGCAACTGGATTGAAACATATATATTCAAGGTATATACATAAATGTTTATATGCCTTGTGTTTTGTAGGTACATTTTTATTTCTTCAAACACGAATACCCCTCAATGGGAAAAATATCTGTAGCATTGAGTTGTCATTGAACAGGTAGACAAAATTGATTGATTAGCGTTGCCACAGAGCAAATTCTAGAAAACAAAATTGTCAACTTTACGAAATAAGTATGTATTAATTATATACTCTGGGCTTAGCAGCAGAATTAGCAATTGTTAGGTTCGATGCAGGATAAAAAGAGAGGCCAAATGAATAGGGTAGCTAGTTTTCCTTTTCTTTCCGTTTGTAAATTAAATGAGCATCAGCTGTTAATACAACAGTCCATCAATGGTTCATCAAAACTCAAGGCAACTGACTCACACCCATACACATCGAACACCAAACCAAAACAGAGCGAACACAAGCCATAAGCAAATGAAGCTGACTGAACAAGAGTATTTGGAGGGGTAACAGCATATAGTATATGCCATATTCTCTCGCTCTCTGCTCTATCTAACAACAACAAAGAGCATTCGATGTCACAACGGAGTTAAGAGAAAAATCAAAACCCAACGAAAACTCAAAATTGTTTGAGAAGAGTATTTTAGTCTCTTAATTATTTAAGAGAGTTGTATTTCTATATTTCTTATTGGATTTTAAAGAGGAATTTTTGTGAGAATTCAGTAACTTTTGCTTCAATATGAGAACTGGTTAAAATACGATAATATTAAGAGTGTCCATAGCAGAATTTAACGAGATGTTTAGTTTCCCAATAACCTTTAATACGCGAGATCATATCTGAAGCGGTTTTTTTTGTCCAAAAGTGTATTCAAATGCCGCCGTAAAGTGTAATTTTGCGTTTTCGTACGACAAATATAACAAAATAAATTTATACTTGAAGGGCCGTTAAAAACCCCTTTAAAGCTCATTTTAAAAATTATAAGGAAATTTAAAGAGTGCTACAATAACAAGAGAGAAATTAAAGAGCTGATTATAACGACGGACATTTCAAAATTGTGAGTGTCGCACTATGTCTGTTGAAGGAAAACTTTCATTCTGAAGTTAATTAACGGCAAAACATTGACGAGTTCTATGCATTAACAGGCAACCCACAATGGTTGGTACGGAGTTGGCGCAGTAACATCAGCCTGACATTCATTTCAAAATTCGAGCACGAAGTTCATACATTTGGTTGGGAATCAGCAACGTGCTGATAATTTGATGGACCCAACAAGCCTGGCCAAAACATTTACAATTATTAGACATCACGCGTACGTTAAACCAAGCGGATGTAATAGAAACGGAAAACGGAACACGTTTATGAAAGTCGACCAACTAAAAACGGCGTAAATAAAATTCGAAACGAAGATACGGTGCTAGCAAAAAAAGCAACAATATTAATTATGAACTTAGGTTCAAGAACTGGAAGTGAAGTGATTGTTTAAAAACATAACAAACTAAAATGAAATCTGCGCAAATTTAATAAAATTGCAAATTAAAAAAAATCAATTATCCAAAATATATTATTAACTGAAAATTAATTATTTAAGAACAAAATATCGCATCCATACGTCTGAAGAGTGACTCAATAATGTTTGCATAGTTTGTGCAGATGATTAAAATCATTTTGACGTTAGTTACACGCACACAAGTGTTGAATTAAAACACGCATACTAAGCGCCAATTCTTCATTATCCCCCACCCTTGCCAAAAAAAAAAAAAAAACATCAGTACAACTGGGAAGTTTACACTTTCATCCAACATACGTATACGTAAAAGAGCATCTTTTTTCCTCTGGACGCCTTACTAATCCGGCAAATAAGACAAAAAATCAGAGGCAACGTTTGATTAAATACGCGTGCTAAACTGTTACTCTTCAATTGAAACCTGTCGAAAATCAAGAAAAATTGCCAGAAAAAAAATATCCCAACCACAAACCAACCAAAAGAGGGGTCAATCAGCTGCATTGACAACTGAAAGAAGCAACACATTCAAAAGGAGAAACACACGTACACGCATACATACTCGTATACGACATTACTCCAACACCAGCAGAAGCAGCAGCAAAAACAACACAAGGAAGGCATCACACAAGAAGTGACGAGAGCAGAGCACAAAGAAAGCATCATTCACTCTTATTGTCGCACGTCTCATCAAACTTCGTTTATTCGGTTTTTGAGACATCGTGTGCTCCACTCATCTTTATCATCATCTCACGGCAGCCGTGGTGGCAGCAGCTTCAGCAGCAGCATCACCATCATCACACATAACTTCGTTTTTGATGCGCCTTTCTTGTCACACGAGTGAAAGAGGGGGTGCAAGTGTGTGAGAGTGTAACTCTGAGTATGACGATTTTGTTGGCCTGAGTATTGTCAGTCAGTCAGTCTTTTTTCTTTCCGTTTGTTGTTATTGTGTGTTGAACCACACTACACAACACATATCATCGAACAATAACAACAAGTCAACACAGAACGCGCACACACAACATCAACGTCAACCGTGAAAGCAGCGCAGCCGACCAGCCAGCATTGAATGTTTCTGTGATTAAGTGACGACATTCGCTGTTTGACTCTCAAACGGTTAACGACGGTTATCTGGCCATAACGGAAATACGCCGCCACGCCACACGCACAAAACAAGATTTGAGAAAGACCGAATAAAAAATAACACAAAATCCAAACAAACTCGCCAAGACTTGTGTGTTTTCTTGCACATTTTATTTTTTTGTGTGTTATTATCATTCAGCTCAGTGGACACCAAACAGCAAGAAAGAATGCTGCTATTAAGAACAAACGTGAACTTGTGTTGATGTGATAAAATTAATTAATTTAATTTTTTGTTTGTTTTCAAAATAAAAACAATGAATAAGAATTCATATCTAGTCAAATGCTACAAAACGTTAAATTGGCAGAAATAAGTGAAAAATTAAGTGAAATGGAAAAATAACTTGACTTAAAAAACACAAAAACAACAAAGAATCCAAGACTGATTAAAATCCAAAAAAAAAACAAAGGAGAAATTTTAAATAAAAAAACACGTTTCTCACCCCTCATCCCATTTAAACAAAAACCTCAGAAAACTTAAAACACTACAACAAAATTCGTTAACAAAGTATACGTAAAATGCAACAAAATCAATACAAATTAATAATTAGAAATATATTTAAATAATATTATAATAAACTAAATAAAAACAAATTATTTATTAAGTTATTAAAATTTAAAAAACAAAATAAAAACGAAAATCCTTTAAACGTAGAGTGCAAATCAAATATTTCCCTAAAACAAATTAAAATAAAAAAACAAATCTTGCTCATATAAATAAAAAAAAACACACACACAAAAAATACTTGATGTAAACAAAAAACCTAAAACCATACCTTAAATATTTAACCGAATGTATACGATCCACTGCAATTATTAATTAAATTAAACAAAATAATACAAATTTAAAAAATTACAAAAAAAAATATTTTCTAAATTTAAAACAAAACAAAACAAAATTTTCTTAAAAATTCAATACAACAAATACCATTAGTTTTATTAATAAATCCAACAACAATTATACGCGTACATAGTGCAAAAACCAAACCAGAAAAAAAAAACAACAACAATAATTTATTAAATATTAAAAATATATTGAAATAAATAAGAAAAAAAACAAAACTGAAAAACAACATCAATAAATCTTCAGGAGCAAAAAATCATCATTCGACCGACCGACCACCTCAGTTATACACACATACAATCTTAAATTTAAACCGAAAATTAAAATTTATGATTGTTTAACAACTATATATAAAAAACAACAACAACAAATTTCTATAAAATTTTGAAATCTCCTCACAACAACAACAAATATTTGTGTTAATTTTCTGTTTTTGCCTTAAGTTTGAGTGAAGGCTAAAACATCAATATTAATAATTATAATAATAAGAACAACCACAACAACAACACATTTCACCAATCTCATCAACAAAACATCTCAAAATGCTGCACGAAGCTTTAATGTTAGAAATCTATCGTCAAGCATTGAATGCGGGGTAAGTTGCTGCTTCTTCACCACTTTTATACTTTTTTATTGCCTCTTTGTCAAAATAAATCAAAAATGTTTTTTTTTTGTTCATTGCTGTTGATTTGATATGTTTTTCTTATATATCCGAATGAGATTAGTAACGTCAATATTATTCTAAAATCGTTATTGTTGTTCTTGTTGCTTTTGAAACAATCATATATTAATAAATTAGCTGCTAAGTGGGGGAGACGTTTTTTCTTGGGAAAAAAAGAATTGTTTTTCCGTTTGTTTTGCCTTCAAGAAAATATGTTCGACAACATTGTTTGTTTTTGGGTTATTAGTAGAGTCAGCAAGTCAGTCAGCCAGTCATGTGCTATGGTGGGCGTAAATAAAAAAAATAAGCAAATTAAGGGACAGTTTTTTTGATGAATTACATCAATGCAAACATAAGGTGATTAAGAAAATAAATCGTCAACATTTTCAATCGAGTAAATTGGAATAAATTTAGAACAGAAAAAAATTGAATACAGTAAAATGTCTAATTTATGAATGAATAACGAAAATTTCGTTAATATCGACGACCTCCATGCGTCCGACAATTATTGTCATTATAAATTAGTTTTGTTTTTTAATGTTGAACATATTATTCACATTATTTCGTGGAGAAAAGTTGTCATAAAGCAACATAATTTTTGTTAAATATTCTATTAATTAAAAAAATCTATATATTTTGTAGAATTAAATAAGTTAAACCAAAAATTATAAAATAAATGTTTTATTTCTAAGAAATTTTTGTAGCCGGTCATAACATTTGTTCGATTCCTATTTTACTAATTATTAATGTATATTCATGTATATGTATGTGTACTTTTAGATATATTACGACAATAAGGGAAAACATATAACATTTCAAAATAATTGTTTATTGAAATTATTAAAAATTTTAAATCAATATAATAATAAGATTAATTTTAAAATATATTTTTTTTTAACTTTACCAGTTTCAGTACAATTTGTTGATAATCTGAATTGTTTTTATACACTTCTCTCTATTTCCAAATATTAGAATATTCTATAAGCTTGTTTCCGATTATTTCTCTTCCTCACATATGCAGATTTAATGTAAATATTATAACTAAAGTTCAAATGAATTTGTACGAACGACCTTCGCATGTCAATTCGCAATCAATATTCCGAAAATATATTTTTTTCCTTCTGTATAGGAATCATATAATGAGGAAATTTCATAATTTTTTGTGCATTTTAATTAACTTGTAATTATAATCGATTTTCTAATTCTGGATGATATACAATATTATTGGCATAAAATTTAGACGTGTGAAGTCTTTACTCTTTTTTTACAATTTAAGAAATACATCTTCCAAGTTTAGAGAATTCTACACTAATATATAAAGAGTTCATGTTTAACAATCTATTTTCTCTAAAAGCAAACAAACTTTATATTATAAATAAAAATCATATTTTCAGACGTGTTAGTTAATTTAATATGTAATACATATTTGACGCTTTGTGGTGGCTATATCAAACATCGGTATATAAATATCGGTTTACATAAAATAGCATTCGATGAACTTTATTTTGGTTCCATTAACTTATATATATTTTTGTGGAGTAACAAATATCACATTTTAACTTTGGCCTTAATTCGCCTAAAATTCAAAACTTGTTTTAACGATTTTTTCACATTTTTTTCTTACATATATAATAAATGTGTGTGTATTAAAACTGTCTCTTATCAACAGCCTATTTATGTCTATCTATACAAAATTGTATATTTTTGACACTTTCAACAAATTCTAATAATTAAAATTAATTAAATGAAATTGTTTTTGTCATTTAATCATTACCACCTCCCCACCCCAAAACGTACAATCATTTATTTATTTTTTTTTTTTTTTTTTTGATGCCAAGGCATACTCGATAGGGACGGAGTGAGTGATATTTCATAAACAATCATTATTTATGCCATTCGTTTCATTCCAAAACGAAATGACAGTTTTATTGCACAGTACTACAGTAAAGATCATGCATATTAGACTATAATTGATCTACAACCACCAAACGTCACTCTAAGGCAGTGTTACACACACAACAGCCGCACCACCATTAAATTCTGAAAAAAATAACAACAACAACAAGTCGCCATATTTGATATTGAATCGGTGTTTAGTTTGATACAGTATAGAAGTGGTGCTGAATAATTACGGGGTTGTAAAATGGCATTTTTGAAATTTTCCAATATCAATATTTGAAAAATGTTTTAAAGAATATAGTTAAAATTGTATGTACATACATACATTTTTTTTTGTTTTAATGAATTGTCATATGTTATTTTAAATTTTTTATATTTTTTCTGTTCATATTTTTGTTTATAACACTAATAAAATCATCAAAATCAATGATTTTAGACACACACACATTTTGTGCTGATGTTGACAATTTGGAAATTTCCAATACCAAACTATTCATCTATATAAACCATATGTCTATATGTATATATATATATATATATATTCCTTCATTTATTCTACATCTATAAATTTTATTCTCTATGCTAAATATCTGACAAGAATTGACTGTTTAGTATTTCGTTTTGCGTATGACCTTATAACCAATAAATTTATTAATAGTTTTAATATAAATTATAAAACTAAAAAAAAAATCCAAACACATTATTATTAGCCAATAGCAGTGATATTGACATATGATACTAATTTGCTATTGCAGCGAAAAGTTTATGATTTATAGCCATGATATGATAGTGAATGAAATAAAAAGACATGTTGACATGGTTTTATATATATACATATGTAGTATGTACATACACATATATAGGAGAGGTAAACATATAAAAATGTTGCTCACAAAGATCAATTTATTTTACACAATCAATGCACAGAGACAAATTTTCAATTGCACCCCGCAGCTAAAATATGTTATGAAGCAAAAAAAAAAAATGGAAAACATTGAAAACAAATTGAGAACAAATACAAATTATTTGCAAATGTGAAAATTTCATTAGAAACAGCTTGTTTTCATGCGAGTCTTATTGACAACTAATTTGTTCAAATATGCATCTGAAAATTGACAAGTTTTTAGTGGGATCACAATATTAGAAATATTTCAAAGTTTTTCGTTGTATTTACTTGCACCTTTCTTGTCCTGGGATTTTTTCTCGGCATTCTCATAGAAGATTAGAATATAGTTATTAAAAAATATTATATTTGCAATTTATTAAAAATCATTTAAATTTTAAATCTCATAAAATTTATACACAAATTTACTTTAATTTCGGTTGAAAATACAACTCGTCAAAGACTATTTTTAGAACAACTCTACTTTCCATTTGAATAATTCATACACTTCGTATGACTCATTGAACACAACTAGTCATCAATTTGATTGAAAACTCTCATATTCAATGTTAACATCAGACACACACATGCATACATACATTTCCATATAAACTAATTTTACGACTTGAAACGTCTCCACTATTATTTTTCAATATTTGGTTCATTGCAAACAGAAATGTCTCATGTCATTCATTGATCTAGACGATCTTTTAAGCATTTATCTTCATTGTTGTAAAACGTTTTTTTTTATGAACATGACATGTACAGTGGGCCATCATATCTGCATAGTAGCAAACTAAAAATGTAAATTTGTGTAATTTCTGTAATTAATAACTTACTGAATATAACTATTATAGAAACATAAGTTCCGAAAAAAATCCCTTTTGCTCTTTTTTATGCAGAACACCGAATCATACATACCATACATCTCACACCGTTCATATTGCATTGTGTTTTGTCTCGCACTCTGTTGGGTGCGAGAAAATATGATGAAAACGAAGATTAATAATAAAAAAAAAACAAACTACACATTTCTATACATACATACATATGCAATATGATTTTTTTGCTTTATATCGTTGTCGTCTCGCTTGATTTGCATAACAAATAAAAACGTTGACATATTGTGAGCTATTTTTAAGATTAGTTGAAATCATTTAGTGGTGATAGAAAACATTTTTAAAAAGTTAATGGGATCTTACACACACACAGACATACATATCAGTAGTATTGTTTTTTGTTATATTTTTAATTTGTAGGTAGTAGGTAGTTTGTTTTCATGCGAGCGACAGCCGCTCAGTTATAGATTAGAATACGAGTAGGTGTTTGAGTTTATTACCTTCTCCCATTTTTCTTTCTATAGACATTGAGATTTATTACCATTCTAATGATTTTGTTTTATTTTTGTATTTATTTACAGAGCTTTGCCAACTGCACGTCCACGTTCCACCGAATCGGCCAATTCAAGCGAACGTTGTCCATCACATGAATCAAATTCCTCCGAGAATGGTAAAGATCATCGTGAAAATAGTATAAACCAACCGCCGGCCGGTGTTCTACCCCTGCCAACATCACCTGGCGCATTCCCTGCCATTCCAAATCTGCCAGCCCAACCACCATCAATGGAAGCATACTTACACATGGTAGCAGCAGCAGCACAGCAGTACGGATTTCCCCTGGGTGCGGGTCCACGTTTACCACTTCCCATACCACCAGAAGCAGCAGCTTTCAAGTTACCACCTCAAGCGTCTCCCACTGCTTCTAGTAATCATTCGGAAGCCCTAGATTTCCGTACAAATCCTTATGCCCGGTCCGGTTCGGCTGAACCAGCCGCATCCGATGAAGATGAGGAGGACGAAGAGGCCAATGATGGCAACAATCCTTTGGATTTGTCATGTGGTACACGTAAACGTTCAGCTGAAGACGAATCCGAAACAGATGCATCAGTTGGGCAGATACAGGTAAAGAAAATATTCAAATCTGAAAGCCCTCCATTGGCACCAGCTCCAGCAGCCCAGCCTGTTCCACCCAACCCAATGATGCCTGGTGTTAATCCTTATTTGGCTGCCGTGGCAGCAGCCAATATTTTCCGTTCAGGACAGTTTCCTGATTGGAATGGCAAAAGTGATTTAGTCGTAGATCCTTTAGAGAAAATGTCTGATATCGTTAAGGGGCCACGTAAGGAGAAAAATTCTCGTAACTCCGGAAATGCACAAACCAATGCGGCCCAGCCTGTTACTCCTCAGCCACCTGCAGCAGCTCCCAGTAATGTAGCTCCACCACCAGCCAGCGAAGGCATCACCAAGACCAGACACAACATCTGGCAGTCGCACTGGCAGAATAAAGGTGTAGCCAGTTCCGTGTTCCGATGTGTCTGGTGCAAACAGAGTTTCCCCACTTTGGAAGCTTTAACAACCCACATGAAAGACAGCAAACACTGCGGCGTAAATGTTCCTCCATTTGGAAATTTGCCTACAGCAAATGAAAGGCCCCCACCACCCAATCAACCGCCCCAAGGAGCCAATCATCTAAGACAGCAACATTCTAAGGGCAACAACAATGGTCCGTCGCAAGCTGCCAAAAATGCATTCCAATTCCGTGGAGATCCTCCCACACCACTACCCCGTAAATTGGTGCGTGGTCAGAACGTGTGGTTGGGAAAAGGCGTTGAACAGGCCATGCAGATTCTAAAGTGCATGCGCTGTGGTGAAAGCTTCCGATCATTGAATGAAATGACCAAGCATATGCAGGAAACACAGCATTACACCAATATTCTGTCGCAAGAACAAACGATCTCAATGAAGTCTACACCAAATTCTGCTGCAGGGGAAAACAAAGAAGGCCAAAGTTTGAGTTCAGAGGAAAGTCGTACTCTGAGTGCTGTGCTTACGTGCAAAGTATGTGATAAGGCTTTCAACTCCTTGGGTGATCTAAGCAATCACATGGCCAAAAATAATCACTACGCTGAACCTCTGATGCAATCGATGGGTGGTGCCGCCGGCAACCGCAAACGACCAGCACCTAAAAAGAGAGAAAAATCTCTACCAGTTCGTAAGCTTTTAGAAATGAAAGGTGCTCAGGATCAAATGGAACAGGAAATGGAAATGCAGAAAATGCAACGTCCTGGTATGGGTCCTGGACCAGATAAAACGGAAGCAGCTCTATTTGCCGAACGCATGCGTCAATATATCTCAGGCATAAAACAAGATGAGTCTTCCAAGAACATGATGTCTGCATCGAATGTACTTAACAAAGCAAAATCTCCAGATCTGATTGAACCCAAAAATGGTGCAAACAAGGCCAGTACAGGCTCCTCTTCAGTTCTAAGTGCCATAGAGCAAATGTTCACCACCAGTTTCGATACACCACCACGTCACGCCAGCTTGCCAGCCACAAGTCCCTCGAATTCGTCCACTAAAAATACCTCGCCTGTGGCTTCTAATATATTGAAGCGTTTGGGCATCGATGAAAATGTTGACTACAACAAACCATTGATAGATACATCCGATCCCTACTTCCAGCACTACCGTTATACGAGCAGTGAACGCAGTGCCAGTGAATGCAGTGCTGAAACCACGCATAATGATTCCCGGAAACTGGAAAACCCCACTCCGGAAAAATCCTTTGCTGAAGAAACAAACAACTCAACAGCCAGTAAAATGGACTGTGACGTAGAAGTGAAACGTGAGGTCTCCACCGAAAAATTGGATGCCGAAGGAGCCACTAATCTAACAGTTGACAATGTGCCAAAAATTAAACAAGAAATCAAAGCTGAAATGGACGATGAAATGAACAGTGATGAGGCCCGTGCTCAGAGTCCCAAGGAGAGATCGCCTGGCGAAAATGTCACTTCGAATGGGACTGACTATTCTACAAATAACAACAATAATAACACCAAAGATTGTCCAATCCAGTCGCCTAAGATGGCTGCCAGCCCACAATCACGTATTTTACCACCACGCAGTCCCACCGACAGTCACCGCTCTATGACACCAAAGTCTCCAGCCTCAAGCATTAAGTCGTACGATGGCGGCGAGAAGAAATATCCCAGCGACTCTCTCAACGCGCTCTCGTCCATGTTCGATTCTTTGGGCAGTACGACAAACTCGTCGACTCTTAGCAGCCGCCCTCAACCACAAAATACATCATCGTTGCTCAGTACTAAACTCGATTCACCAGAGAATCTGACCACTTCCAATTCGTTAGCCGCTTTACGTCAATTCTGCATTAAGAAAGAGAAAACCGCTTAAAAACGCTCTCCAACTTATTTCGTTTTTATTTTTCATTTCTATTATGGGAAACAGTGAGAAAAACATATTTTTTGTTTTTGCTATATTTCGTTGGCATAAAACGTCTCGCTCTCGGAGTCAGCCGCGAAATTATGATTTCTGTTTTTACCAAGGGAAAACGCTCTTTTAGCTGGCCGGAAACGGAACAAGCGCGCAACAGGCGGAACAAGGTCCCTAGACCCAGGTCCTCAGTACGCCAACATTAAGACTTATGATTTCCATACAACTATGCAGTTCACTATACCACCGTCTATGTAAATCCATTTGCCGTTGTACCACACAAATCATATCGTGACAGGAAGCTCGCTTGCTTCCCTGCTTTAGAACCACTAAAGAGTGTTGATTATAATTTCGAGAGAGAGAGGGAGAGAGTAACCCAAAGCGATGTGGGAGAGTATGTGCGTGTAAAACTCTCTCAGCAGGGTAAAAATGCAGCTCTGCGCTATGGCAACAGCAACAAAAAAGGACGCTGTTGCAACTCGTGAGCGTGCCAAATGTAGGGCAAACGAGAGTGACTATGTGAAATTCTAACTGGAGTGGGACAGTGCTTCGATAGAGCGTAGCAGAGTTTGCAAAGATATAGAGGCGATCCGTGACTAAGCGGATAATGCAGAAAACAAAGACTGGAACTGAGACCCGTCTTAAATCTTAACAACAAAACTCCTAACGATGAATAATTGACCATAAACGGAAAATATATTATTGATAAAATAATATTTTGCCAAATACCCCAATTGAGACATAAATTTGGCATTGGAGCTACGTAAATAAGGTAAATATTTTTTTAATGTATATATTTGTTTAAATTATTAGTATGTCTGAAAATTAGTATTTTAAATAAATCGAATTATGTTATTAATAAATATCTTTCTTTTTCTTCTTCTCTTTTTAGAAAACAATAAACTGAACTTTTGATGCAGCAATTTTCGTGAGCTCGCCGTACCCTTTAAAAATAAAAGATTTTCGGACTATTTAAAACTATGAATTGATGTCGCTACAAATAATTTCTTGCCATATTTTGTGATAAAAAAACCACAATGCCACAATTTGAAAATTCTTCAAATATCTTGCCAAATTTTTGATGCTTGGATTGAATAACAACAACAACATTTTATGGAATAAAACTAAAACAACAACAAACAAACAAAAACTCAAAATTATAAACAGATGACACAGCCCTTTTCAGGGCTCCAATTTTTTATGAAAAAGAGATAAAGTTTATCAAACGTTAAAGGTGAATTCGAACAAATATGTGATATTAAAATATATATTCAAACATTAAGTCTTTATGTGCAAAATTTGGTTCAATTAAAATGCAAATGGTGTTGATATTTTATGACCGAAAATTAAGCTATTTTGCATTTTTTATTTTTATATATATGTGGGGATGACTTTGAAAAATTTAAATTAATTTAAAACATGCTAAATTTAATTTAACTAAAATACCAATACTATTGGTATTTAATAACCGAATATTGGCGATTAAGGAATGACAAAAATCATGATACAAATTTTAATTTTCAGAGGTGTATGTAATATAGGAATTGTTTGCGTGGGCTCAAGAGATTGCAACGCTGCGAAATTTGACCTTAGAACCTTACTTTTATATACGGATCACCATATCTTGACATGTGTGTCCGCTCATTAAAAACTTTACTTTTGTAAGTTTTTCGGATCGTTTTAGAGGCCACAATTACTACCCGAATATGACACCATTTTACATGGGAAAGGGGATTTCGCCAAAAAATAACAAGACTGAAAATCGGTCTATCTTTAGGTGTTCAAATAAACCAAGACTTTTGTATAAAAATGGTCAAATACTACAGTCGAAATCGAATTTCACCTGTTTTTGCAAAATATTCGAATTATACTATACATTTTAACGACGAAACCTTCGAATAAAAATATATTTCCCACATTTTTGTATATCAAACAAACAACATATATTTCTAATAGTCCGTTTACATTATACCGGATTTCGTGAATTGTCAATTCCATTGTACATTGACAGACGGACATGCATAAATCGACTCAAAAAGTGATTCTATACATATTCTCAAAAGGACCCATGTGTATATCTCGTTTCCAGGAATGTATAAAGAATTTAATTTCACAACACTTGCAATTATTTCTGTGTCGGAAAAGTCAAAAGTGAAGATATCTCAAAAATCTCTTATCTGCCTCAAGGTGCACGTAAGTGAAATTACTGCATACGACTGTGACAATGTTAAATTTTCTGAAATACGCGATCAACGCTAAGTATCTAATAATGAAACAGAAAAACTATTATTTTTACCGCATATATTTATTGCATTAAAAACCAAAGTCCATGTATGCGGTTAATAAATACAAGAGGGTATATGCATAAATATTAATTTATTTTCAAAAAGAAATTATATATTGGGAAATTAAAAAAAATCAAAGCCCTGTATAATATGAGCGTATAAACCAAAAAAATGCTTTATTGTAATATAAAAGTATTGTATTGCGTATATATATATTGAATGTTTTGCATACAAAAAAATATTCTTAATTCAAATCAAGTCTATATTTTAGATTTTTTGTAGTTATGTGATCAGTATTTACTTTAGATTTATGCATAGACATAAAACTTCTTTTCATTTGATTTCTCGATGGTTTTTTACTATTAAAATTTGTAGCAATATATTTATATTAGGATGATTTTACCGGTATTGCTATTAAAATTTGTAACAATATATTTATATTAGGAAATAGATTTTCGTCACCTGGGATAAATAATGTTGTTCTACAAAAATATTCGTACTTCGAACTCATTACATTTGACCTGTGCTTTTGCGTATCAACTTTCTTGATACTGAAACTTCTTAGAAATACATCCAAATGAAATCTTAAAATGTTCCCATTTTTCTTCGAAGATTCTATCATCTCTTCTATAGATTCGTTAAATATTTGTATCCAATAATGCTGCTTAATCCGTCGTGTTTCACAATACGAATGTAGTCGTTTGGAAGATATATTTGCTTCTCGAAATATTCTGCATAGCAACCCATTTTGGTTTTCTTAAGAATGAGCAAATTTGGAAAATTGTAGAAAATATACTTCGAAGTTCTAGAATTTTCGAAGTTGTATTTAAACTTTATTTTAAAATGTGAAAAGAACAATTAATGTATTCAGCAGAAATTAATTTTGATTTAATAATGGTCTCCTTTTTTATTGAAAATAATTCGAACGCTTTTACACATATAAAAAAATCTAAATATTATTTTTTAGTATTTTATCCACAATTTATGCTCTTCTATACAAGTGGTTTGGCAAAACTATATTTATTTAAAGAAAAAAAGGGAGGGGGGGTGTGTCTCAAAAAAAAAAAAACATACAGGTTTCTTTAAATGTGTTTTCTATCCATTATAATATTATGTTTGAGGCCCGTATCTAAATTCAGTGCGTTGCATACTAAAATACCCACCTTCTCACCCTTATGGGGTTTGTTAAACGTCCGTATTACCCAAATATACAAGGGCCTTATTTACTTGTGTGTCAATTGAAAATAGCGAAAAAGGATGAAAACATTTTCTTAATTAACTGAAAAATATTTATAGAAAAACAAAATTTTCAATGACTGCAATTCTATTTTCAAAAACAAAAAAATTCCAAAATACGCATTGTCATATTGAAAATTTTCAACTTTAAATTTTTATACGCCATGCGTTATTGTGTAAAATTTATTGAAATAAATGTATTTAACAATATAATTGCAAATATGCTCACTTATAACGATAGGTCCAGTTGTTTTCGAGATATAAAATTTGTTATGATACTGCCTTGCGTCCATCTACATATATACGAATTGTTTATGACCTATTCTCAGACCTGAATTATCTGAGTACTAAATTTCGTAATAATCAGTCTATCCGCTTCGTATAAGCATTTAAAGAATTTGGAATTTTGGCAATTGATCACACAGATTTGATATTCATGGGAATTCTTTGATGCATTATTGCTAAAACAGAAATTCAAATTTAATTTGTAAACCAGTGAGCGGAGCATATAATCGGACAGGGCCGACCATATGATACCCTACACAACTTCCACGAATATCTGACTTTCTGCAGTTCAACATTCTGAGCTTGGGCAATATTTCGCGATATTTGCACCCTTTTGACCGAGTAGAGTTCAACACATATTATTAATATTCAGTACATCCCTTTTAATTACTCGTACTTGTCCAGATTCCCTTCAAAAAATTAAGTTTTCGGTCCACTTCATCCCAAAATTATTATCTGATCATCACCGAAAATTATAGTCGTTGTCCTTGACCATTACTGGAACCTCATGGAACATTTCAAAGCGATATGCGCTATATTTCCACCCTCTAGTGTGGTAATGGGTTACTAGACAATATCTGAATTTGCAAGTAAATAATATAATTTGTATCAATTTAAAGGTCAACCACTCCTCTTGGATATACTATCAACTTCTCGGGCCTATATCCTTCAGGGGTAAATATGTACGCTATAGAATACAAATTTTGTAATTTTTCACACAAAAGTCAGGTCCATTTGACCCGCTAAATATTAATCGTTTTTTATAAAAACAGGCATGCTTTTTCTTTGGCCCGATCCCATTATCCATGTAAAATTTCACGATGTTCGGATAAGAATTGTGGCCTCTGGAGCGACCAGAAAAATCGACAAAAATTTAGTATTTGGTCCATTTCATCCCTTAAATATTAACATATCTTTAACAAAAACAATAGGGGTCTTCATTGGTCAAAACCCACCCTACATGTAAAATTTCGTGAAGATTGACCATAACTGTGGCCTGTATCGTGTTTACAAATTATAATTGACAGTCTGACGGACGGACACACATGTCTAGATCGGCTCAGCTAGTCGATATATGACGATCGGTATACTTAAAGGTGCGTCTAGGACCAATATTCCGCGGCATTACAAACTGTTGGGGCTGCACAAAGCTATAATACCCTGACAACAAAGTTGTGTAGGGTATAAAAAGTTCTATAAATTCTTCTTAAGTGCCACTGCTTAATTAAATAAAATTGCACTGGAAACGGCGGGTAAAACACCAAAAGGCCGAAATATAAATATCAACTATTGTTGGTGCTACACAAACACATATATTTAATATAT